AGGATTTCCAGTAGATTTACTGGTGATTTTGACAAAATAATTTGAACTGTTAAAAGTGTTTAGGAGTAAATTGTTCCGATTGAAGTAAACTGTTCGGAATACAATTAGCTGCATGAACTTTATATGCATACATAAGTTGACCGCTCTTTATTTGTATAGAAAATATGTAAAATGAACTTATTATATTTTGTAGTTGAATGAAGCTTCTGTTTTGACAGCAATTAACAAATGTTATTGGGTAATGAAACTGATAGAAAGCAGTTTGTATTTATCATGATAGTTTTTACCATATAATTATAGTTAAAAATAGTTTAAAAGTTTTCATAAATTTTTCGTTCTATATATTCAAGTACAAACTTGTCCGACTGCAAAAGGTTTAACATATGATGAAATAAATGATTATAATAAAGGAAATTTAAATTTACATTGCATCATGCATGTATTATTATAGTATTAAAATAGTATAATTGAAAAAGGTGTTAATATGTAAAAGATGAAAAAAACAGTTTGATTTATTTAGATCAAACTAGAATCTACCTAAGTTTTAATCCATGAACTATAGTTTGATACATAGTTATCTGTTTCAAAATGATGCGTTGGTAAAATTGTGTTGTTTGACTAGTCGTTTCAAATAATTTGCACGATGATACGCAACTGTTATTCTTCCCATATATATTCCCAACTTTATTTCATGGCATCAGACAATGTGTAAATCTATTTTCAGTATATTTCAGCTTCAGGGATTTATCAGTTGAAATCGTTTCTCATAAATTGGAAGTTGGGAAAGATAATTTAGTGATACTGACATCAATTACATCAGCGTAACAATCATTATAACTTCTTCACGTTATTTCTTCGGTAACTCTTTGTGCCTCTGAGTAAGTGTTAATGCGTTCGATGTACGGATATAAAATGTATAGATAGCAAATTAAGTAATAGTATTTGCTTTATACATTTAAAAAAGTTATATTTATAAAATTAGAACTCAAAAATAAAAATAAATATTTTTACTTGAAGTATGTATGCTATATGCATTAAAGGAATTTAATAATAATTTAACTTGAAATATATAGTTTTAAAAGCATTCATTTTGCATATTNAAATAAAAGCTTTTTATTAATTATGATCCAGTTCAAGTATTATATTCATCACTCTTCTGTTTTCAACATCAATTCTTCAACTTGGCCCACTATACCAATATACAAACTCCACCCACACCTTAATATCCATCACCAATATAAAATGGCACCCTTGGCTTAACTATCTTCATATATATAGTTTTAAAAGCATTAATTTTGCATATTTTATTTAAATCTCTTTTTTTTTACTGAATTGAACGTAGAAAAATGTTTTCTTTTTTCATTGTGAAATAATATTTTACTCTGCGAAATGGAAACAACTCTTATTATATAAGTGCAAAAGTAACAGAATTGCATAATAATGAATAGTATTCACGTGGATGTGTTTGCAGAAGACAGCACTGAGTAAAGCCGAACACAGTCATTAACTACGATGGTACGAAATGTGACAGAAACGTAGAAGACTAGATGCTGAAGACTTATTCTACGAGATGTAAAAAATGCATGTGGCTCGCATGTTTTTTACAATGTTCGTAACATTACTGTATTCAATGCTAGGATAGTTCTTCAGGAGTCCTTTGATAACCTAATTATGCATGGTGAATTCATTCTTGTGCTTACGTAAAGCGAATTTACTCTCGTGCTCTTGTGCTTACGTAAAGTGAATTCATTCTTGTGCTAAAACTACGAATTAGTGTTTTGCGCATAAGATATCCCCTAATTGATAAAATTCAGTCTTTAAAATAAAAAAAAAATGTCTTTTAACTATTTAAATGGAGGAGTTAAACTTCTGATGGTTATGAGTTATGAACCAAATCGTATCTATTTTGCTATCACATTCACGTTATGCGTATATAGTATACGCGTACGCTGATGTCGCATCACTGATGGAACTTGACATTTTAAAACAACTTGTGTTCTAATGTGTATTTTATATATTCCTATCTTTTAGTTATTTTCGTATGACTTGCCCTCCCATGCAAGAATAATCTGTAATAGAGTATTACACTATATTATTATATTGTCATTATAATAATTAAAAAAACCCTCTAAAACAAATTAATCTTTAAAAAAGCTTAAAAATTGTATATCCAACAATATGCATTGGTTCAAAAATTACATACTTTGAAATAACATCAAATACGTATGAGAGTCAAAATGATCTCAAACTGAACTCAATCGGAGTTTTAAGTAGGTCCAAAATTCTATACCAGAAGTATATTTGGTATCGACTGTTCGAGTGTTAAAAAAATAGACAAAATAAATTTCCTTTATGATTTTCATACTTAAAAATCTGCATAAAAAATTCAGTCTACATTTCAGATACCTGCCTTCTAACATATTAGTTGAATACCCGTTTTCTGTAAGCGGTAAAAATAATCAAACTATCAATAAATCAATACTGATAAAAACTACGAAATCTTGCACAAAACTGGTAAGCATACCAACATAATTAATAAAGATAAAATAATATTATTTGCTTTTAATTTCACATAACTTTTTGTCCTTGCCAATGGTTTTGCTTTATTAGATTAAGCTAAACATGTTTTTTGGTAATTCATTCCATCAAAAAATAATAACTCACTGTATTCAGTGACTTTTGGAATGATGCTATTACTCAAGACCAACTCGTGATGGTTAAAGCTTTCCACAATTAAGTGATTTTTTCTGGCACATAACCTTTAAAGAGGTAAAACACAGTGCAACACAGTATCTATATTAAAACTGCTCGGTATTCATGCAGATTTTATAGGCATCAAATATATTAATTTTACCAACATTTTCTAAATTTTATATTGAATAAAATTGCATCAATTAACAATCTGCTAAAAGTGCTTATTAACAAAATTAATTAAGCCTCATTGGCTTCAATAATTAAATGATAATTTTTTATATTCCTTCAGAACGAATTAGTACCATTTTTCTATTAGTTTTGCTTTTCAGCACATAGCTTTTTTCAATTTTAATTAGTACCTATTATCAGAATCAATTAAGCATAATTGGAGTCGGATCTGAAGTTATAAGAGAAACACACAAGAAAGCTCCTCATTTTATTATTATATATCATTTAAACAACTTTATTTAATAAATTATTGTGACATTTTAACCACCAATCCTTGTAATAACGTCTACATTTCATAAATTAATTCTTTTTATAAAAATTTCAACTCACTGTAAATGTTCAGTTAATAAATTATTGTGACATTTTAACCACCAATCATTATTATGACGTCTGCATTTCATAAATTAATTCTTTTTATAAAAATTTCAACTCACTGTAAACGTTCATTTAATACATTTTACCTACACCATATTAAAGATGACAGCAAAATATTATTGAATTAGGAATAAATTTCAAGTCATTCAGAGGAATCTTCATTCATTTTAAAGACGAATTCATTCCTGAAATATTTAGAGTCCAGATAAGAATTCCTAAACTTGAACTCCTTGTCTCTTTTAAAAGTTTACTGAAGTGTTCAGAGAAATTAAGAATTTGAATTGAAAGTGAAATGTTATAGTTGTTTGTTTTCGTTCTCAGTTCAATCAATATTTCTGAAACTGATTTATGCTGATGCTTTCGATGCTTCTCTTCGATGCTGATGCTTCAAAATGCTTTTCGTTGATCCATATGTAGATTAAAAAATGATACTGTCTTCAAATAAAAAGCAAGTTCCTTTGATAATTACTCGCTTTCCTTTTTCAAATTCAAGAAATTGTATTCTAAATTATATATATATATNTTTTACTTGAATTTATATTTTTATGTCAAATATATTGATTTAGCAATCACTAGTTTTTGTTAAAAAATAAAGGAAATAAAATTTTTAGATTATTCTATTAAGTTTTGAATTAGCTGTAAGTTATTGTATTGAGTTTTGCCATAATTTTAGATTATTGCAAAACTCAACTCATTGAGTTCTTCTAAGAAATTTCAGCAATTTAATATATGCTTCTGATTTGACATACTTTTGAAAACGAACTTTTCTGAGCATTTAATTACTCACTTATTACAATAAGTTGCAGATTATTGCATTAAGTTTTCAGATGAATTTTTCACTAATCTTAATTTCACTGACGTGAATGCTTCGTATTTGTCAAATTTTGAAAAACAATTGTTCAATGCATTACTTACTCACTTATTGCAAAAATAAGTTGTAGATTATTGCATAGAGTTTATGTATGACTTTTCAGTAGCTTTTATTTACTTACATGTTTTTAAATTTTTCATATTTTTTGAAAAATAATTTTTCAAAGCTTTAACTCCCTTATTATACTCAGTAAAAATAAAATCGTGTATAGTTGCCACCATTTGCGGTTGACAAATGTTTTTACAGTGCATGTAGACTTATTTTTATTTACTTTCCTACTGTGATAGTTTTATTTATTTATTCATTCTTTTCTTGTTCGATAACTGACAATATATTTTTTCAATATATGGTTTCATTCCAGGAACAAGCAATGATTTTTCAGTAACATTAAATTTATTTAGTTACAATTTTACATGTTTTTAATTTCTCAAATTTTTTTAAAAGAGAATTTTTCAAAGTATTTGCTCATGCTTAATTATAATATATGAGAATTATAATAAATATTTAGTCTCTATTTCATCAGTTTCCTAAGAATATAGTTTTTAGCTATTCGTCTTAAAAACTACATTTAAATATTTTATAAGGGTATCAAACTTACGATTAATAAATTTTGACATAGAATTGAAGGTTAAATTAATAAATATTTAAAGTTTCTTCCCCAAAAGAAATCCATATTATTTGCAACAGAAAATGCATTAGTTTAAGACATCCGAAAGTTAGCAAGTCCAGACGTGTTTTGAAGTTTTCAATTTCATGTTTTCAGCGCATAACGCCAGGGTGCGCTGATAAACATTATGGTCTTAACTGAAAGCGAGACGAAAAGGAAGCATTTATCCATGCTCTAACCACTTGGATAGAATGGCAGATGTGTTCCTCTGAATAGGGAAAAACTTTCCCACGTGGTTCTTTCACGAATTCATGTTACTTTACGCACAAAAACGAAGATAACTCATCGAAAAACATGACTATCACTTTTAGTTTAGTTATCTTAGTTTTATACTATTTATTATTTACAAGTTATTGCTGGAATTTTTCTAAAAATAATGTTTTAGCTGAAAATGTTGCTGTTAGTCAATATTTTGTGAATGTAAGTTTCGAAGAAAATGACACCAATTTTCCTTCCGAAATTTTGAGTCTAATTAGAAAAAGTAGAACTTCATCTAATTTTAATCAGTCATGGCCAGTAAAAAGAGTTTCTGAAATTGATGGTGATATCATCTTAGGTGGACTGATGATGATACATGAGCGAGAAGATCAAAAAATATGTGGTCCCATAATGCCTCAAGGCGGGATACAAGCCTTAGAATGCATGTTGTATACCATGGATTGGGTAAACAATCAAAAGAATTTTTTACCCGGAATCAAACTTGGAGCTTATGTATTAGACGATTGTGATAAAGATACTTATGGTTTAGAGCAAGCTGTTGATTTTATTAAAGGTATTTAACTTAAAATATATTTAGATGTTTTAAGAGTTTCTATTTTAAGTTTTGTTTTATTTATATATTAATATTTCTATGTAATAAGTATATAATCAAAACGGTTATTTACCCAGAAACAAATTAGCAGTTTGCGTATTAGATGACTATGATAAAGATACTAATGGTAAAATCAAGCTTTTGATTTTGTTAAAGAAGTTTATTTTAGAGATTTTAAGAGATTTTACTTTGAATTTACTGATTTAAGGCTTGTTATTGTTAAATATGATGTTCTAAAATATAAATATTATCTTAGAAGATGCCATAGTCAATTAAAACTTGATTTCTATGTAATATGAAATAACTACACTATGTAATAATAAATAATAAATATTTCTATGTATATGAATAATTACTTTTTATTTTTTTCTGTTTTATTTCTAGATATAACTTTTCATAATCTATCAAACAAATCGATATTATTAAGATGAAGATACATACGGTTAATTTTATTGAGGGTATTCATTTCAAAATTTATTTAGATATTTTAAAAGCTTTCATTTCAAATTCAATTGCTTATCTCTTTTTTTAAGTTACATATAATTTTCAGAACACAAATTTTATTTATTCATATTTAAATGTACCATAATAAAAAATTTATTTCAATATTATGTGAAGTATGTTAAGAAGAGTTTATTTTATTGTTGCTACATGTTATTCGTGGTTACTTTTGATTTTTTTCTGTTTTGTTACAATATATAACTCTATATAATGTATAAGATAAAGATATATTATTAAGACGATAAAGATATTTACGGTTTGGAGCTAGTTACTCATTTTGTTAAAGGTATTTATTTCAAAAAGTATTTAAATGTTTTAAAAGTTTTTATTTTAAATTTAATTTTTTAATTCTTTTTCAATATTACATATGTTTTTTAGAACATAAATTTCATTTATTGAAAATTAATTATACCATACTTAATAAAAATGGATTTGTTATAAGAAATATGTGAACTAGAGTTTATTTTATGTTTGTAATATGTCATTTGTTATTATTTTGATTGTTATTTATGCTAACAAAATTTTGCACCATTTTGCATTATCTATTAGTATATTATATGCAGTTATTTTTCGTTTTCTTCGGTTTCTTTATTATATTGAATTATAATTTATGAAATAAATATTAAAAAATATATACTTATGGTTTAAAATAAGTATTCTATATCATTAAAGAAGGGATTTTGAAATACTTTTTTCGAAAATTACATTGATTAATGTTATGTGCAATAAAAAAAATACGAAACCGTTCAATCATACCAAAGTACTTCGTATATTATAAAATTTATTTGCATACTTATTATTGTTTATTTTAACTCTTTTTTTATACTGCATATCTTTATTTAAACATATAAATTCAATTTAAGATAATAAATAGTTTGAGTAAAATTTTTTAAGGTGATATCAGACACTAATAGGCAAACGATTTTATACATATTATATGATATATTGAAATTTTATCGCACTTTTACAATGTGTTATGTGGTTACTTATTGCTCTTCTTTAATCCTAAGTGTAGCAAATTGTCCCTTAATAATTTTTTTTTGTTATTTCAGTTATTTTGCTTCTTTTTATGATATTTTGAAATTTCCTCATCATTAATCAAGTCAAAAGTAAACTTTATATCTTTTTATAATTACAATATATTGATATTTTTTCTCTCATAAAATCTGAAGGTAAATAATCTGATCATTCAATGGCTTTTTTATTTGCTAATTTATTTATGTTGTTATGTTTAAGTTACTCTTGAAATTTTCTTTGTTATAAATAAAGTTAAACAATTACTTACTATATTGCAACTTAAGAATTGCAACTGCCATAATGAAACAAAGTCACCAATTCCGCTTTCTACTCAACGAGTTTACAAGAAAACAAAGATATTTTAAACATATCTAACAAATATTCGTTAGTTTTTCATGTGTTTTACTTGAATTAGTTTTTAGTTGAAGAGATGTTATATGTTTTATGTTTTTGAACATATTTAACAATATCTATTCCTTAACTAAATTCAATCGTCTTCGCATAAACACCAGTGAAAATAACGTAGATTTTAATCAAATTCTCTGGTTGTACTAAAGGTATGTCAGAATTCATCATATAATCAAATAAATAACGTTAATTAATAATCAATAAAGAATTTTAAATATAGAATGGCATCAATTATTAAATATCAATTCTTAAAATTTAAGTTATAAAGTCCATAGCTTTTTTATTATTTTACAAATCAAGTTAGATTCAGGAACTTAGTATTGCTACTTACTAACTACTAAGGAAATGAAAAATACATATTAAGAAGATTTCAAAACATTATTATTTTAAACAGAAAACAGTTTAAAATTTACTGGACTTACAACTGCCTTAGCTCATTTAACCTTCTTATTTAATTCCTTTTAAATTCATTAGTAGAAAAAGAACGAGTTTAAGAGAGAGTAACAGTTTAGAATGAGGTCAGTTTTTGCTTTGTTAAACTAATCAAATTCTTGAGCTAGTGATCTAATTTTTTATATGAAATAAAAAAATATACTGAGCTAAATGCAAGTTTCGTTACTTTCGGTGCATTGCTATTGGACAGAAGAATTTTATAATAGCTTTTTTACTTTACAGAGATCAGTGCTTATTAGTTATTTTGCTGTTATTAATTTAATATAAAATTAAAAAATTTTATCCAATAATCCAATTTTCTGTACAACTTAAAAAGATAATAATCTCTCTATATTTTTTTACTGTCTTTTGTTCAGTTCAATTGGGCAAAAATTATGATATAGGTTTCTTATTTTGCAAAGAGTAGTGCTTACCAGTTTATTGGTGTTTTCTTTTTTTAACATAATCCAAAATCTAATTCTCCATGTAACGAAAAGAAGAAAAACCTAAATAAATTTTTCATAGTTTTTGATCCATTTTTATTGGGCAGAAAAAATATAGAATATTTTTTTTTACGAAGATTAGTGTTTATTAGTTTATCAAAGTTTACTGTTATTCATCTAACCCAGTTCGTAATTAAAAAATTTCATCTAATATTCCAATTCCTTAAACAATATAAAAAGATATTTAAAAGCCTAAACATATTTCTCGTTGTTATCGCTCAATTGCTGTTGGGCAGAAAAGCTGTGTCATAGGTTTCTTATGCTACAAATATCACTGTTAATCAGTGTTTTATGTTATTAAATTAATCCATTGCTTAAACCAGAAATTTCATTTACTAATCAAGTTCTCTATATAATGTTTAAAAAAATAACTAAAATATCTTTTCTTTGTTTATGATCCGTTGTTATTGAACAGAAAAACATATGATGCACTTTTTATTTTACAAAGATTAATGTTTATCAGTTTATCAGTGTTTTCTGTTACTATTTTAATACAAAAGTTTCCTCCAATAACCCAATTCTCTGTGTAATATAAAAAGATAATAACCTAAGTACATTTATTGTTGTTTTTAAATTACTGTTACTGAACAGAAAAGTTATATGATTTGTTTCTTGTTTTACAAAGAAATACTGTTATTTTAATTATTTCTGTTTTAATTTATGAGATTGCTATATTTTGATATGATTTAAATTAAAATGTTTAGAAAAATATTTTAAATTTACGCATGCAAGTAAAAACATTAATGAAAATAGCTATTTAAAAATTTTTAAGCAATATTAAGAATTAAAGTTTCGCAGTTAATCTTTTAAATTACGTCTTAGAAAAACATATTCAACGTGTTTAATAGTTACCAAAAAAGTTTGTGGATGAAGTTGCAATGATAATCGTATAAAATTATTACGCTTTTCATTTATTAAATCTTTTGACCAATATTAACCGGTTGGTTTAAAAATCTGTTAATTATTAAAAATATTGAAAAGGTACTTAGAACACCTTTGTGGGGTTCAATATGTGGCCCAATGGGGGATTAAATTATATTTATTATCAGACACCTTCGTATTTGAGCCGCATAATCATTATATATTTTCACAGCTGGTATAGAGTGCTTGTTGTTTGATTGGTGCCCTTTCATGAATGGAAAGCAGCCTTTTCGGCATATTTTGTTTTTTTTTACTATCAAAAAGTTAAAAATATTGCTCGAGCAAGAAAAATATTTAAGCGATATATATAAAGAGAATATGTACTGACAGTACACTAGTGCCAAAACTAATTTTCGAAATTCTGATCCAGCAATTTTGATATTGAAGATGCGACACATTTTGGAATTCCAATGTATACTGATGAGGACACATAAAATGCATTATATAAACCAAACCGGCGAATAACAACTCGTGATATAGCTGAGCGATTAAACTTCTCGAATTCATTATTTTGAAACACCTAGGCATAATTTCAAAGCTCCGATATATTGTTACCTCATGTACGTGTNTTATTAGCGATGAAGGTATTTTGAATTTTGCCAGGATTTCAAAATTTCATAAGGGTTGAATCAAGTTACTACTATGAAAATGGCAAAAGGTATTAAACCAGAATGGATAACATATAATTCAATAAATTATTTATTTACTATAAAAAAAATCTTTTTTCCATTTTATAAGAAAATACTTTTCAAACATACTAAAAAAACTTAAGTATTCTTTCGCGATTTTAAATGTAATTATTTATGGATAATTTAGAGAAAATTTAATAACTGTTTATTACAATAATTATTAAGAACATCATTTAATTTCCCTGATAAAGTCAAAAAAATTATTAAATTATTTGACGTTTGTAAATTTAGATATATTTGTTTTAAATTTTTTTCTTAATTTCCGTTTTTTCAATTATATTTTTAAATGATTCAATTTTAAATATTGATTTTTTTTTATCGGTGAAGTCAATCTTAATGCATTTCATATTATGACTTAAAGGGTTACGTTTTTCAAAGTAAACTTGGGTCTAGTTTATTAAATTTTTTTTTGCTTGAATATATTCTACGATTTTGCCAAATTTAGAGTGAGTACTGAATTTTGAAGAGTTTAATATAAGAAAATTTTGGAGAGTAGAA